AACATCCTAAAATACATGCAAAATAGGTTTAATACTTGTCTGATTTGAGAACAATAATAAAATGTATTAAGAGAGTTTCAAGAATAACAATGCAATCCTAAGAAGAGTTATACCCTTCTAAATCCAGTGGTTTAGAGGGACACATCTATGTTTAGGATCACATTATAAATTCAGGAAAACAACCTGCACGACCACTTCAAGACGACCTTATTCCAATGTTAAACATTTGTGCCCCTTAGTGGTGAACTATATTATTAATCTGTGCCAACAACTGCAGCCTTTGAGAAGCAAGCTTGAAACTTTTAAAATTAACACTTGGAAAATAAATAAAATAAACACACAATGCATTACACAATGTGTTACAAACCAGTCAGCAAGAACAAATAAAAAAGAAAAAAGAATTTGGAAAAGGGGGGAAAAAAGACTTGCCTTTTCCTGATATGACCTCTTTCTCATGTCTCCATCTAAACCCGAACTAGGAGAGAGATGAAGAGGCAAGATTAAGAATTTTGCAGATTCAGCCAAAACAGAACAATCCCCCCCCCCGAGTTCTAAGTGCAGACTGTCCCTCTTCTACCTTAATTTGCATCATTTTTGTTCCCTTGCAACTCAGTGGCTACATCCAGAGTACAAACAAGTTTGGGCCACAAAAAGTCAGCATTCCAGTGTGTTCCCCTTAAGTACTACGTGCATGATAAGTAATATAGAATAAGCAAGAGCCATTCTAACCCAGAATTCCTTTTGATGTCATTCAGAATGCCACTGGACAACAACTACAAGTGGACAAAGACCAGGAGGCCCTGCTAGCAGGCTTCCCAGAATTGGCTGCCTGGCCTCTGCTGGAAACATGATGATCAACCTCTGGTCTGGTCCAGCAGATCTCATACGAGGGGAATATGCAATTGTCTTAGAGGAAGCTCACAAGGCCATGGCCACTTTTAGACGGGAACAAGAAAAGTAACATGCCTATGTTCATAGGAATTCCACTTATTATCTAAACATGATCCCTGCGCGCAAAGTCTAATTTCCATAAGCTTCTGTTGCAAGCTGGCAGTAAACAATAATTGATAGGTTAAACTACCCTATATATAGCCTTACTTCCTGTGCTCATCCTCCAGAGCACCTATTATTGGCTGCAGCTGAATACAGGATACTATGTCTTTACTTATGTATAGTTTATTCAATAACGTACTGCCTAAGTGCCCTTAAAAAGGTAAAGGTTCCCTTGCTCGAAAGCCAGTCGAATCCGACTCTAGGGTTGCGGTGCTCATCTCCGTTTCAAAGCCGAAGAGCCAGCGCTGTCCGAAGACGTTTCCGTGGTCATGTGGCCGGCATGACTAAACACCAAGGCGCACGGAACACTGTTACCTTCCCACCGAAGTGGTCCCTATTTATCTACTTGCAATTTCTTGCTTTCGAACTGCTAGGTTGGCAGGAGCTGGAACTAGAGACGGGAGCTCACCCCGTCATGCGGCACCCGGGGCTCGAACTGCTGAACTACTGACCTTCCACAGCCTGCAGTTCAGCGTCCTAACCACTTGAGCCACCGCAGCTCCAAGTGCCCTTAAAAGGAGCTCAAATGTGGATGTTTGAACCTTTCTCCTTTCTTTGCCATCAAGCCCAACCTGGCTTACGGCAAATCAGCAGGGTTTTCAGAGCAAGAGAGACACCAGAGGTGGTTTGTCGTTGCCTGCCTCTGCTTAGCAACCCTGGGCTTACACAGCCTCCAAACGAATGAAATTTAAAAGTTAAACCTTTACCTTGTTCTCTTTGTATTTAGTCAGATCTGCTATGCAATATTCTTTGAATAACTTATCATAGTATTTCTTGCTAAGCCTCTTCTCCCTGAAAATCGAAGAACGTATTAGGCACACAAAATAACACAAGTGGGCGAAAGCAACAGAGGTTCTTCCTGGCTCAAAGAGCAGCAAAGCAGAAATATTAGCAAGTCAATTCTACATAATAATTACTAGCTACAGAAGAAAATTACAGAAAAGGCACAATTCAGTGGGAGTAACTACCTTAAACAGAAGTTTCTGGTTAAAAAAACACATTAAAAACCGAGATTACAAATAGCTTTGGGAAAGCCTTGGTTTGTGGGCGTTTTTAATACTAGCTTGCTTTTAATTAGGAATTCATAACATTCATTATGGCTCATCAAGAGTTTGCTTGGCCACAGAGGTACAGTACTAATCTTCCTAAGTGCTTCAGACAAGATGACACCGTAAATTATACATGTGAATTAAAATGTCAGTAAAACATAAATAAATGAAGGCTCAGCCACAGCCCAAGTTACCAGGTCATATCCACTTCATCTTCCTCTCTCCACACGAATCTGTGGTTTTCCCTGACAATATCAAGGTCAGTCTTGTCATTTGCTCTGTGAAAAAAGTATGTTTACACCTAGATGTAAAAAAATATATTTTTACAGTACAAAATAATCACATCTTCATTCCCTGCATTTTACCTCAGAATTTTAATTGCAGAACAAGAACACGGTTTTCTAATGACAAGTGATAAAACACTGAGCAGAATCTGAAAAGCTACATTAAAATTTCCAAGAGTCTCTGCCTACCCCATTTTATATTAAACTTAGATTGAAACATTAGCCATTCAAGTATGCTTTTTTACACATATACCATAAAATTAAACTTCTCAATTCAGTTATATTCTTGGTTCTGAATGTGTTGGTTCTGAATGTTTAAACAGTGATTTAAAACTGCCTTAGATAGTACGCATAGTCAAAGGAATTATTTTTTTATCACCTCCCTGACAATTAAGAGCAGAGGCCTTTCTCTGGGGAACCCAAACTTTCAGAGCCTGAGAGAAAAATTTCAAGCAGGACTCCTCAGAATCCTACTCATCTCTACTAAATGGGGCTTACTCCCAGGAAAGTGTTCATAGGACTGCATCATAACAAGGTGGCTAACAGAGCCAGGCTCTTGGGGTCTGAAAGTTTGGGCTTCTTATATTCCTGTAAAAACAGGCAATCTCAATGCAAGGAGAGTATGTCTTTTTGTGTGTCAAAAAATGTTCTTTGTTCTGTGACTAAGCCAATGAAACATGGAACAGGAACAAGCCAAATGTAACTGTCTAGAATTATATGATGTTCCCTATTGAGTAGCTTTTTTAAAAAACAGACTCTGGTAATTAGCCAGCACTCACCCTGAACGTTTGAAGTCTTCTTTTTTACCACCATAGAATAAAATGTAGTCATTCACCAGTTTCTTATGCCGTGCATACTGAGAGAATTAAGGAATTCACTTTCAGTGTTTCTTATCAATGGCTGCTGAATAGGACTGAATAGGTACCACCTGCCCACACACAGTGTTTGCAAGATGTAACAGGTGTCAGGACACAAATTCCAAAGTTAAGTTTACTTGCAATGAAGGTTGTCATACTAATAATCAGGGCTTTTTTTGTAGACAAAGCCCAGCAGGAACTCATTAGCATATTAGGCCACACCCTGACAGCACCACTTATTAGCATATTAGGCCACACCCCCATGTTACCAGAAGTAACCTTTTGCTTCTTATTCTGTTTACCTTGTTTGTTGTCAAAATCCGGGGCTTTTGTTTTGTAGCAGGAACTCCTTTGCATGTTACACATCCCTACAGCCAATCCTAATGAGTTTCTGCTGTTGGGTGTGGCCTATTATGCTAATGAGTTCCTGCTGGGTGTGGCCAACTCGGGAGCCAGCCGGAACTCCGTTCCTGTGCGTTCCTGCTCAAAAATAGCCCTGCTAATAATTAAGAGAATTATAACGTAAGACATATGTTTATTCCAGCATCGTTTAGCGGTTGGAGCAGAAGTTCCCAATGTGGTGCCTACGGGTGCTATGGTGCCCATTAACATCTATCCTGGTGCCCACCAAGTGTTCTTTAGAAAGTTGGAAGGGCGATGAGGGGCTTTTCCCAGTAAGGCTTCCGACTGGACACTGGAGATCTGATTGGCTATGCAGACCTTTAAAAATGTTGCTTTGCCACCACAACATGAGAATCTTCACTGTGTGACTGAAGGTAAGCTGCGGCTGGCTCCACCTCCTGCAGCAGCTGTTTTGTGCCAGCCATTTTGTGGCTGCACCCACCTTGCTGTATCAGAAGCCCAGAGGTGCCCACAGGCTCAAAAAGGTTGGGGATCCCCGGGTTAGAGTGCTGACCTAGGAGTGGGGAAACCCAGGTTTGAACCCCTACTCTGCCTTGAAAGCTCATGGGTGACCTTGGGTCTGTCACTTGCTCTCAGGGTTGTTATTGGGAGGATAAAATGGAGGGGAGAAGAATGATGTTGTAGGACACTTTGGGTCATTGTTGGAGGAGAGAAGTGAAATATAAATATCTTATTTTTTAAAAGAAATGTTTAGGAACCACCAATTATTTTAGATTCTAATGTCTGTTTATTTGGAAAAGTAGTATAACCCGGGGGGGGGGGGGGGTGTCCTTATGGCGATATTCACTAGTTAATGTGCAGGCTGAAAACAGACCTTCCGATGTACCAACTTGAAAGGGAAGACTGACTGCAATGTTGTCAATATCCCTCTCTCCTATTTTTAAATCTGATCTACCAGCTTTACCTTGGTTCTGGCCAACTTTATAGACAATGTTCATCAATTAAAGTCACCCTGAAGAAAAGCTGAACTTCTGAAATCAAATTAAAAGACCAGCCCTTGCCAAGTTTATTTGTTTTGAGTTATATTCTGCACTCCCCGCAAGCAGGCTCAGGGCAGATCACAACAGCAGTTTTACAAAGCTGGACACGATCCACAGGACTCTGGATACCGTGTCTCCAGCTGCCCTGGATGCAGGCGCTGCCTAGCTTCTTGATCAGGAAGAAGCATGGCATGGTGGGCGAGGTGAAGCTTGAACTGCATCACTTTGTACCTTTCCAATAAAAACCAGGGTTAATTGCTGTAGAATTAATGTGTGTCTTTCGCCATACAAATATGTGACATTCCATTTTCTTAGGAGTTGTTTTTATCTCAGGAATCAAACTAATGGGAAGATCATTTTCAATACTTTTCTGGAATGGGGTGTCCTCAGTTGAACTTTGTGCACGGTGTTAATAATGGTGTCTGCACTTCAACAACTCATGACCTGTCCTGTATTATTTTGTCATAGTTCTGTGGGACACTGAATTCATGCTATATTTGCTTAAGTGCTGTGCAAGTCGATAGCCTGATAAATGTTTCATTATACTGGGATAGTCTGGTTAAAAGCCAGTGGCTGCATTAGTCAAGAAAGCAACACTTCCTGAGAGTACTCAACTGAGGCAGCTCTGCTCCATAACCCATTTGGTCTTGAAAATGTTTCTATAAATGCAGCATTTAGAATACTGCAGGTCTATAATGGCAACCAGGTTGTTCTGTTCCTATTTCTAAGTAATTAGACATGATCTGTAAATTCCCCTAGTCGTTTTACACACAGCTAGCAATAGGAGGATGACACCCTAACATAACAAGCAGCAACAAACTTCTGTGAGTTTGCAGGGATGTAAGAATGATGCCAGAGTTCTAGTTCACAATCTGTTTCAAACATATTGCTCCTGTTCAAGAAAATAATTAGCAGGCATAAGTGCAAAAGAACTACATGAACCTTTTTGTTTGTATAAATTGGCACACTTACAGTGCAGTTGCTAAATTTTATACACCATATTACACTTGCCCCACTGATGGACCTCCTGATGGCACCTGGTATTTTTGGCCACTGTGTGACAGAGTGTTGGACTGGAAGGGCCATTGGCCTGATCCAAAATTGGCTTCTCAGAGTTTTTATGTTACGCATAATGTGTGGGAACATTTCTTGCCTTTGAAAACCAGGAAAATACCTGGGTATGAGACCAGGTATGAAACTAACAGTAGCATTCTCCTCATTAGTGTCTTTTTGAGCAGCACATTTTTTTCAGGATGGTGCTAAAAGAACTGCAGAAAATCCAGAGAATGTTCAGAGAACTGCTAGAAAAACTGTTGGGATATGTAACATACCAGAAAAAGCTGGAAAAACTTGGTATATTTTAAGTAAAGGAAGGGAGGGGGAAGCTGGTGGTGCCAGATTTAAAAATATACAAAAGACAGAGGATGTATATCAGTTAAGGGCAATGTAAACAAAGCAAAGTCCGCAACTGCTACTGCTTCTACAAGGCATCATTACTGTGGGTACTAAATAGATACTACATACTGAATATGTCTGTTTTCTCCAATTCTCTCCTTCATATATAAAAAGCTTTTATTAAAATTCCAAGTCATTGCTGATAAGCCAAAGAAACATACTTTTGAAAAACATAATCTGATTATCTGAGGTCACCTAAAGGCGCTTGCTTTCCTAAGCCTGCTTTCCAAAGCCTTATAGCTTAGCCATCAGCAAAAGCTGTTTTGCATTTTCCAATAAAACAGAGAGAGAAAAAGCCACACATTCATATGTATTAAAATAAGAATTACAGCCAGCAATACTAATCTCAGATTCCCTATAACTGCATGACTGGATTCTAGAGAATATTAGAGTTCACTGCTTGGGAAACTGTTATTAAAAATTATTTACATCAGAGTCCAAGATGACAACACACATTCACCAGAATACTAAGTTTAAGGGGTTCTCATTCTATTTCGTGAACTGGAATGAACTCTCAGATGATACAAATAGCTGAGTCCATTTTGGCCCCTATTTGAAGTCAACCATTCAAACCAAAGTTCAAGGCAAATGAAATTGTGTAGCAGCACAAACTTCTTTTCCTTCTTTAAGTATTCCAGTTTAAATCCTGTATTCCCCAAAACAGCTCTACAAAGCAGCTATCGTTCACTGAAGAAGAAATCCATACAAGATTTTTAAAAGCTGTTGCACACACTGTTTCATTTTAGCCATTCATCTTGTCCGAGGGGCAGCCAGAATAGAGGATTAAAATATTTCTGAAAATGAGCACATCGGATTGGACCCAGCACACAATTTCCACTTGTGCTGGAGCTCTTGCAGAAGCAGAAATGCCAGAAAAAGACTGAGGTAGCTGCTTGGGTAAAATCAAATCTATTGTATCCCTGCTTGCATTTCTGTTTGTAACCATCTTGTGCAAACCAATTTCTGGGCACGACAATATATAGGGAGGAAAGTGCTAGGGGTTGCACAAGATCTTACACAAGCAGAACTGCACTAAGTCCATTTCCACTCGAGCGTGGCTGGATCCAAGTCACTGAATGTGTCTTCTGTGGATAAAAGCACCTGACAAACCTCAAGCAAGTCACACAGCTCCACTTGATGGGTCGTGAGCGCCTAAAGAACCATCATTTTTTGCTGCTTTTCTTTTTTGAAGTTCAGGTACACAGAGAGCAGGGCACCACCTCACCTGCCTTTCTTTATAAGCACACTGAGAGGAGTAGCAGGAGGGCAAAGTTACTCACCAGCAGAGAGGATTTCTTTTTAGCACTTCATTGGGGTATAATACCACAGAGTCCACCTTCTCAAGAGGCCGTTTTCTCCAGGGGAACTGATCACTGTTGCCTGGAGATCAGTTGTAACAGCAGATCTCCAGCTGCCACCTGGAGGTTGGCTACCCTAATAATTGAATATTAGTTAAATCCCACTGAAATTCCTCTTTCAGAATGATTTTCTCCCCTTAAATTAATTGGCACTAAAAAGCAGTATGTTGCTATCAATACAATTCGTATTTAAAGGATACAGCATCCATTGCTATTAAATGAAATCTTCGGTTTCTTGCTTCTTCCCTAATAAAATAAAAGATTGTTTCAGTTGTACAAACCAAATGCTTATTTCATTTGGGGGTGGGAGAAACTGGTAACTATAGCAACATACCTGTCCCATTCATCTGCCGCTATCTGTTTGTGGGCCACCTTGCTCTGTTTTTCTTTCTGGAAGGGCTTTGTAAGTAACGCATCTTCATTTCTTGGCGTATATAATAAAAGAAGGAAAAGCACACCATTAATTATTTTTTTAAAGATCAGCAGTGTTATACGCACACCTTATATTCAAACATTTACATATGAAGCCTTTAGTCTTAAAATAAAAGCTAAGTAGTTTTACAAGAGGGTCACTTGGACAGAGGATTGGGACCACTTCCCACCCATTCACCTACCCTAGTCCTGAACTGCCAGCAGATCCCATTAAAGTATGGGTTGCTATCACTATTGATTGATTTCCTAATAGACCCTGAAGCACAAACGGTGTTCCTGTAGATGAAATTACAATCAAGAAGAGAGTGTCTGAGCATATGCAGAATGCCTTTCCTTTACCAATGAGTAACCAAAATGAGCACTGAAGTCATCCGATTAGGAGGAAGGACATTCAGGTGAGAACACTATGTATATTTCTGCACAGGAATCATTCTGTACGTATAGCCATGCAGCTTTGTAGTTTGCCTCTATGGCTGGGCTGGCCCAGCAAGCAGGATATGTTATAGCAGGACTGACTGTGAGCATAACAGTTAATACAGCCAGGGGTCATTTCGTAGAAAAAAAGGTACAGGAGCTAATTAGCATAAATTATTAGCATAATTTATTTGCATATGCCACACACCCCTGACATCACCAGAAGTGTGTCAGAAGGCAACATCCACCGCTCAGGCTCCACTGGACTGTTTTGGATTGCTAGCTATTGGGGGGGGGGGGACGTGCAG